TGGCCTGCGGCGGGATTGGCCCAGCCGCTCAGGGAAGTTGGCAAGTCCCAAAGTGGTGGAGCTTCTCCATTCAGGCGGTTCTAGGGGCAGAACCCCAAATTGGATGCCAGAGCATTGCTAGGCCTGGGTGACAGACCACGCCCTCACGGAAGGAAGGATGGGGATTCTAGTTGGGCAATGACCCACCCTAATCCTGACTCATGAATGTGCCGGGCAACTCTGCCAAGTGGACTGTAGCCCCCGGCATAGAGGCACATGACAAATGGCAGGGTGACTCCGTAGGTAAGTAAGCAGCTTTCAAACTGCGGCATTATGTGAGTGAGGACCACCCAAAGTCACGCTCCAGGCCAGGTGCCACATCAAGGCTTCCTTCCCTGCCACCAGCATGAGCATCAAGCTGTCCAGACCCCTTGGAGGGCCCAAAGCACCTTCTTGGCACTGCCCCATCCAATTGTTATGTGGGCGTCAAAAAGACAATGGCTAGAAGAACCCTGTTCATTCATGGCACTGTCCCCTTTAATTACTTCCCCACTCCAGATCAGTTTCCTTATTGGGCCACTTGTAAGATTGGGATAAGCTTAATATTTGTCTTTAAAAAATTGAGAGACTTGAGTGAGGTAGAAAAGGTGCTTTCCAGCTTGTGGAGAAACGACTCCTTTTCAAATACATACGTACGTACATACATACGTACACATATATATGTACACACGTGCACACACATATATACACATGTACACACACGCACACATACATGTTTTTTGAGACTTGTCTATTGTTTGGCTGAAAATTGCGCCCGTGGGCAAGTTGAGTTTCAGGTCCACTAGCCTCTATCAGACCAGTAATGGTCTCCCCGCCTGCTTCCCCAATTTTGACTTTAGTTGTACCCTTTTTCCCCATTCTACCCAGGATCTTCAGGGTAGCTTGGTACTGGTAGCCGGGCTCCATCCAGTCTGTCATCCCTAACAATGAACAGCTTAGCAGTGGGGACCATTTGGAGCTGTGGGCAGGCTGGTGAGTGGCAGCCCAGGTCTACTCTGGTTCATTTGTTGTCCCTTGTTAAGGTGCGCATCCTGAAATGTTCCAGCCGGATGCCCGTGATTTTGCCCTCTCACATGTAGACAGCAAGTGGTGGTTAAGAAAAATATCAGATTTTTTTATGTGTGTATGTGTGTGTAGTTTTATCCACTTTGGAACACTAATGTCCTCAGTAGTAAGCCTTACTCTTTCTTCATTCTCTCTTCATTGTGATTGGGGTGAGAGTTTACAGAGCCAATTAGACGATTACCACAGGTCCATCGGCCTGACGAGGCTGGCAGTCCTCACAGTGGCTCAGCCCTCGGTTCCCACTTCCTCCCCAGCTTTACCGCTCCCTTCCTCCTCCTCCTCCCTCTCCCTGCCTGCCTGCCCAGCTTCCTCCAGGGGCAAGTGCTGCCCTTTGAGCTCAGCTGGCTGGCTCTCTGATGCCCTTGTCCACCTGTCATTTGACTGAAAGTGGAGCCACAGAGCTTGAGTTCAGATCCAGGCTGAGAGGGTGACAGGCCTCATAGACTCGGGGTGGGTGGGTGGGAAGGACGGGACAGTGTTTCATCAGCCCCGATCTGATCACGGTTATTGCTGTGCTCTCCAGAGGCGCCGAGGAGGCCTGGTGACATCCTGGGCTGCTCTCCACAAGGCCAGTGGCTCAGATCCCCGAGGCCGTACTGCTCGGTGCCGTATAGCCATATAGGTGCCGTATAGCCATATAGTCGCTGTGAGTTGGAATGCACTGGCAGCAGGGAGCTTGGGTGTGAGTCTTTGGAGGCTCTGTGTGATGGAGCGTGAGCTCTGAGGCCAGTTTGCAGTAGGCCCCAAGGGGGCATTCAGAGCCTTTCACCAGATTCTCCACAAGGGCATGGAGGTAGCTCCGGAGAGATCCTGGAACCTTGGAAACAAGCACCCAGCCTGAGCGCTTGTAGGTCTTTTTCTGGAGAGAGGGACATAGGTGACCATATATTTGCTCAGGGGTCAAAGACCCCCTTGGCCATGGTTTGATCATGACCCCGCACCCCAGATCCAACCCGGTGATGCGAAGCACTGCCCGTAGTGCCACTTGTGGACTACAAGTTGGGCTGCTTACTGTAAAGGCAACAAATTCAAACACCCCCACCCCACCACCGCCAGGCCACAGGAGGAAGACAGGGCTTTCTAGGCCGCAAAGAGTGGCAGCCTGGGACCCCACAGGGCAGCTCCGCTCTGTCCCACAAGATCGCCGTCAGGTGGCATCGAATGGCAGAGTCTGGTTTTGGTTTTTGGGGGGTTGTGTTTTTGGAGTGGTTGCCTGGAAGCTCTGCCAAAACCCATTCAGAACCACAGTGACATGCATGTAAGCTTTGGGCATGGGAGATGGCGAGTATGTCCCTGGGGGGGCACAGGCACAGGCGGGGTGGTGGTGGCAAGGTGCCCCTGAGTGCTGCCCCTGGTCCACATCCTCACTGCCCATAGTATTACATTTGGATTGGGGGGTGAGGGGTGAGGTGCCAGCCCCACCCGCTGCTACTACTACCCACGGGTTCAGTAATGCACAATTGTACGGTTGAGATATATAAGTATTATATTAGAGTCATCCAGAGCATGAGAGACGTTACAATAATGCAGTCAGACACGTTACATGGTAGCATTGCTCACCTCAGCCCAGCTTGGTGGTCCACGTGGAGAGAGGGGGAAGGGAGGAGGGCAAGGGAAGAAGGGAGAGAGGACTGGACAGGAGAGGGGGGAGAGAGGGGAGCGACCAGGGAGCGAGAGGTCAGAGAGGGGTCAGAGAGCTCTATCTTGCTGACCCACGCCTATATCCCTTTTGGGGGCATGCCAGCCCACTAATTACAGGTAGAGACATACGTCACAGGGCGGGGCTGGGCTGCACGATAGGTTACACAGTAATGAGGGTGGTCTCTGGGTCTCCATGGGAACCATTATCAGTAGGGTGAAAACTCCACCTACAGGAACTAAGCTAATGGTCCCAAGCCTTAGCTCATTGTCCCCAGCAGCAGGGAGCAGGCCCACCCCTTGGTCTGGTGACCAAGTGGGGAATGCCTGCGCATCTGACCTCCCCACAACTGCCTACCTTCCAACTGCATGATGCAAGCCGGGCAAGGAGCCACCCCTCGCTGCCCCTCACTTCCTCCTTGTGAAGCGGGCACAGACTGCAGCCTGTCTGTGTTTGGGCGGAGCAGCGGCTCAGGGCCTGATGGCTATCCGAAAGGTCTGTGGTTTCAGCCCCCCAGGCGCTCCACAGGAGAAAGAGCTTCTGTCCAGTTGATGGCCGTGGAGGCCCCCCAGGCCTGGCACCCCTCCTTCCCAAGGGGTTGGGCTCCCCATGCTTCGGACAGTACTTTTGTTGACTTGCAGGGAACGTTGAGCTGGTGGTGAGCAAGTGGCCGTTCCTACCTCGCTGTTACTTGCTTGTCCCAAGGAGGAGCCGCCGGACCTGCAGGAGCTGACTCCAAGACTCCAAGCGCAGTTGGCTGTGCTGCCTGCCCGGCCTCCCTGGGGCTGTGTGCCTGCCCGGCCTCCCTGGGGCTGTGACCCGGACGACGGACTGTTTTGAGTCCTGCTGGTCGGGTGGTTGCCCCCTCCCTTGCGAACGGCCTCACGCCTACATCAGACTTAGGAGGGGGCTGGTGGGGCTTGGGGAGGACCACCACCGGTGGGGCACCCTTCTCATCCCGTCATCCAGGGGACACAGTGGTGCCTCCCACTTGTCGCTGTTGACGTGAACCTTGGCCAGGTCTGTCCCGCCCTGGCCCTGGCCTTGGCCCTTTGGAAGGGCGTCCCTGCAGTGGCCCACACTGAGGTCCCCACAAGGGTGGTTAGAGGAGAGTGGGCTGTCAGGAGGGGTGGCATGGGGATGTCCTTGTGTGCGGGGTGTAGAGGTGTGGCCACCCTTGGACTGTGTGAGTGCCCGGCTCTTGAGGGTGAAGGGCACTCTGGGGAGGGGCTGGTGGCAACGCCCCCCTTGCAGAGCAGGGAGGTGGAGTGCACTGAGGCTCAAATCAGGTGGACAGAGGGGCGCGGCTCAGAGGCAGTGGGGGGTTTGAGGGTGCTGTCCTCAGAGAGGAGGGGCGCTTACCACAGGGGATCAGCGAGGTTTGTGTTCTGAAGGGGAAGCTCACTCCTTGGAGAGTGGGGAGTCCGCATCTCAGAGGACAGGGCACGCAGTACAGGGGTATCTGTCTTCAGAAGGGGCGTGGAACATGGGGGTCCTTCACCAGAGAGGAATCGGGGTTTTGACCTTCGGAGGTGGTGCTTGCTGCAGGGGGAATCTGAGGTGGGGGTGGGGGTGCTGTCTTCAGGAGGGGACACTCCTTGCAAGGGAGACATGGGGGAGGGGTTGTCCTTAGCCAGGAGGGGGCGCTCACAGCAGTGATGTCTGAGGAGAGAGGGAGCTCTTACTGCCGGGAGATGTAAGGGGGCGGTGCTCTTTTTGAGGGGGGCCTGTTCTCAGGGAGGAGTGGGGCATTCACCACAGGGGGAAAGGCGGAGTCATTTCCACTCCCGCGTTTGCTGTGGTCCATGTGATCGCTGGTGGTGGACATTGCTTGAAGTGCGGACGCATTTCCCAGCAGTCTCTGGGAGCCCCTAAGGGGGAGGGTGCTGGGGTGCCCTGGTGGCGAACTGGGGCCCTCTCTCCTGGTTGCTTCTGTTTGAGGGCCTCCGAGTGTGGCGGGTTTGGTGTGGCCCAGCCCTGAGCACTTCGATATTCCTAACGTAGTGTGTACTTTCGGATTTAACATAAGGAAGGGAAACCTCGCACGTGGGGGAGCCTGAGGGAGAGCTGGGCAGAGGCTCTCCGGCCCCAGCATAGAACCAATCAGCAGACATCAGTTTCCAAAGCCCTGTCTCGCGGTCCTCCCTGCCCTCTGTCATCTGCCCCTCTCCAGTGACACAAGGAGCAAAGGGACTCGTTGTTTGCAGCTTGGTGCCTAGTGCCTAGTGCCTTTGCCCGGCAGCTGCCCCTGCCCTCCTTGGCTTGTTTTGTCCTCTGCTGGCTCCCAGAGTGGCCTGGCCCCAGTCGAAACCAAACCTGGCCCTCTCCTTGCCCACCGCTGGAAGGGGAGAGGGCCACGCTGCCTGCCGCCCCAGGCTCACCTCCCTCCATGGGGCTCCCTGGCTGCACGGGCCTGAAGCCTGCCTCCTTGGGTGGACACCTGTCCAACCTATCCGCCTGGGCTTCTGTCTTAAGCAGCACAGACAGACTGTGAAAGTTGACTGTAAAGATGGACCCTGGACTTAGGCTGACAGGAACCCGAGCCTGGAATAAGGGATGGGGAGCCTCAGAAATAGGCCCAAACCCTGAACAGGTCGACACCCTCCTCGCTATACCCTTGTCTGTCGGGGGGTTGGGGGGTGGCCGCCCTCTGGGTTTGCTTTCTTGTTCTCAGCGCCCTTGTCCCCCCTCACTTGGGGGGAGGACATGCGGTGGTGGTTTCTCCTGGGGCCCTTGCTTGTTCTGTTGGACTGCCCTGGAGATCTTGAGGTACCCTCCCCAGCCCCTGGCCACTAGAGCCAGCCCCAAAGGCTCCCTGGGAGAATGGGCCCACCCTGTGAAGGCCCCTGACCACTCACTCGTTCATGGGTGTAGGGCCGCATCCTTGATCCTTTTAGGGTGCCCAGAGCTTCCTAGGGGGCCACCCTGCGACACTGCATTCCCTCCCTAGTTGGGACAAAACCTGGCTTGAGCCATCCAACACTCAGGACCAGCTTCCTGAAACCTCTACAAAGGGGAGGTTCCAAAAAGGGGGAGGTGGCCTGGTTTGGGACTGGTGGACTCACCTTTTCTCCATCTGTGTTGTAGGCAGCCTGGGGAACCACGCCTGTCACGCTTGGGCCAACACCGTGGGACTGATCAGCCGTGTGTAAGTAGACCCTGCCCCTTTTCACAGGACTGGGCCAGGGCTTGGAGTCTGGAATTTTTCTTCTTTTTTTATTTTTATTTATTTTTGGAGTCTGGATTTTAAAGGAAAACAATTCCCTGCTTTTCTGTCCTTTGGACAAAAATCTGGGCCACGTGCCCTACTGAGTCTTTAGAAAATAAACGTTTGTTGTCTAGCAAGATGCTTCTACACATTGCTTAACGTTATGCTGCAGTTTCTCCTAACTAGTGTTCCTATATACTGCATGTTGTCCATCACATGTGCCGACCTGCAGTTGTCCTCAGGCCCTGCACGGGGGCTTCAAGCCACATGGGAACATAGTTTGTTTTGTTTTTTTGTTTGTTTGTTTTTTTATAAAGACGCTTTATTTTCATTTATTTATTTATTATGTTAATTTTAATAATCATTTTATTGGGAGATCTTGCAGGTTTTATAACAATCTGTTAATCATTTTATTGGGGGCTCATCCAACTCTTATCACAGTCCAGACATACATCAATTGTATAAATCACATTTGTACATCGTTACCCTCATCATTCTCAAAACATTTGCTCTCCAC